CACTTTCCCACATATCAAATAAACCCTAGTGGGAAACTGGCTTTGGAACTGTGTGTGGTTCTGGTCACTCCATTTGGACAAATGCGTAAAAGTAGAAAAAGCTGCTGAGAAAGGTGATGGTAAGAAGGAAAGCCTGTTTTATTAGAGAGGAATAATGAGCTTGGCTTTTGTAGTCACAGAGAAAAAGATGAGAAAAGGTTTGAAGATAAATGGAAAGAAAATTCCAGGGTGGAAATCATCTATTTAAGTGAAAAGATAATGGGCACAATGAGAAGTCAGTACAAGCTAACCATTATTGTGTTTACATTAGAAATTAAGATTTGGTGATGGCAGAGAACAGGGATTCTGAAATAGCATTGGCTATTGGAATAGTGCACACAAAAGGCTGACTGGTTTTAAAATGAAGCTTCACCACTTTTTGAAGGGGATTGGATGATGCTGTTATTAGGGGACTAGACCCAGTGATCTGGGACATCCTTTCTAATTCTGTGCTGAACAAGATGGATCTGTGCAGAACATCCCCTCTGGACTGGAAAGAAAAAAGAACATGATTAAATTAATTATCTTTATCAGCCTTTTGGCTACAATTTGAGCATCAGTTGTTGCAAGGCTACACTTTCCCTGTGTTGTAATAACACGCACAGTCCCATGCTTACTGTTAATGGTGGCCAAAACCAGAAATTTCTGGAATAGAAGGAAACATCAGAATATGGTGTGTTCTTTTTCTCTGCCCTCTCTGTTATTTGAAACTAAAGTAGAAATGCAGATAATAGCTTTGCCACTGAGGATCTCTCAAAGGAGGAAGAACTCTTCACTCTTGTCCTGGGTTCAACAGTAGCAGTAGTAGCTACTGCTGAACCCAGGGCAACTCTACGTACACTGACTTTAATGTAGACACCTTAATGGATAATTGTTAAGTGTCTAACAACCTTGTCTCAATTAAAGAACAAATTTTAAGGCATATTCAGGAATAGTACTATTCCTTGTGGAGTTATGGAAGAGCTGTCACCAACTCTTCTATGGACAAGGTACAACAGTGCTAACAGGTGAACTGTGAAACTGAATTTGCCTCAGATTCTTTCCTACATGACAGAACATTCAGGGAAGAATTTCCACAATTCTGCACTTGATTCATTGCCTGGAGATATGAGAGGAAATGGGCAACAGGTCTAATCTTTGTTTCTTATCCATGGCAATTTTAATTTATGGAAATGCTCTCTGTGCCCCCAAATCCAAGTCTTTCTCTGCTGATCTCACTTTCTTCTCTACAGTCTTTAAACAAAAGAATTTGATATTACAGTTGGCTTAGACTGAGAAATTGCTGTGCTAGCTAAAAAGTTGGCACCACACCTTCTATTCAGAGTGCTGCACGTTGGTGGTGTCTGTTCAGATAACCTCTAGCTACAGTTGAGTAATACCACAAATGGGGAAAACCCTAGAGAAATAGGAAAATCCCTAACTGTTTGTGCATTGTGTAAGTATATTTTGCTTAGGCTCTTTGCCAAAGCGGATAGGAATCAAAGTTGCATTCTGCATAGGAGTAAAATGTGCTATCATGATCAGGATCTTATTTTTTGCATAAAAGACACCCATGGCATTTGTGAAAGAGGAAGAAAATTTCCATTCTGGTTTTAGTGTGTTATGTTTTTATATTGCATTCATCACTGAAAATTCCTGAAAACAAAAGATATAGAAAGTGGGAGAGGAACTTGATTAATTTATTTGAGCTCTTCTTTGAGACAAATGGTCTCTTTTGGCTATTTTGCAAAAGGATTATAAAAGAATATACTGCCTCCACCCCTCCCCCTTGGTATTGTACAATAAAAAGAAACACTTGTTAAAAAAGGAGGAATTTAGCTGTGACAAAATGCTCTCTGTAACTGGCAAGTGTTTGTGCAAATGTTTGATTCTTTATGTAAACCTTCCCCACAACGCCTCACCCAGAACAAAACCAAGTGCTTAGGAAGGACAAAACATCTCCCTACCAGAACAGAAATCACTTATGGATATGTTTCTTTTTTTCCCATGGAGAAGATGAGAAAATAAATGCAAGATGGTACTGGGAAGTGCTCAGATGGTAGCATTCATCTGAGCAATAGTATAAACCAGTAATTAATTAAGATAGACCAGAAGGTACAGGTGGATTTCTGCATCATCCCACAGCCCCATGGAACTGGGTGATTTTCTTTTTTTTCCATGTTTGTAACTTAAGACAATTTATTTACATGTAATTTGCATTCTTCAAGTGTCATAACAGGGGCATCAAAGCACCGGCCCTTAAATAAAAGGCCGAATCCTCTGAGTTTTGTGAGATTTTTGTTTATTTCAGTGAGATCTTTATTTTTTTCTAATGTATTTTTGCACCCTGATTGTAACCAGACAGAACGGTTGGAAAACTTAATTTAAAGATGATGTTCAAAGAAATTTTAACTGGCAATTGGGAACTCTCTCAAGCCACCTAACCAAAATATTTTCAGTAGTTTAGCTGCCAAATGGGAAGTTAAAAATACAGAAGTAATTTGCTAAATTATCAACCTCATGAAAGATTAATTTCTTCCAGTAAGCAGTGGCTCAGCAATGAGTTGATCCAACAGTTAGGTTTTCTCAGTAAGAAAATTAGCTCCTTACCCAATCAGTTGAATTTTTGCAGTCATTTTGTATATTTGTCTGTTCCACACCCTAAGGCCATGGAGAACCTCAAGTTAAGAGGCTGAATTCAGATTGTCCTTCTGCATACTCCTGCAGGGTTCTATTAGAATGAATTCAAAATTAGGGCTTTGAAACAGCAGTTAAAATTCCAGTAGTTTTATATGAGCTGGCATGTTCCTTTTTTATTGGTTTAGTGTTGCACTGAATTATTCAGGAAGCTGTGGTCTTCTTTCTGTTGATCATTGTGCATTAGGAGAATCAGCAAACTACCAATGAAGTTCTTTTGTGGGGGGCAGAATTAATATATGACAAATATTTCTATGAACATATTAGAGCAGAAATGAGGTTGCATCAGTTACATTTTTCAGTCCTTCAGGGGAATTCAAGGAATTTATGAAACCACTGAAATAGAAGTACCCCAGTTTTAGAAGAGTTATGCAAAGAAGTTTGATTTCCGTGATAGAATCATAGAATAATTTGGGTTAAAAGGGACCTTCTACTCCAACCCCCCTGCAATGAGCAGCAGCACCTTCAACTAGACCAGATTACTCAGAGTTGCCTCCAGCCTGACCTTGAATGTTTCCAGGGGTGGGGAATCTACCACCTCTCTGGGCAACCTGTGCCAGTGCTTCACAACCATCCCTGTAAAAATTTCTTCCTTATGTCTAAATTTCCCCTCTTTTAGTTTAAAACCATTACCCCTTGTCCTATCACAACAGGCCACACTTTTTTGAGTGTTGATGTAGTATTGTGTAGAAGCAGCCGAAGTAATACCTTTAACAATGTCACAAGTAATTTTTATAATCTCCAGTCTATGAAAATATAGGACCATCTTTGTCTTTTTATAATGAGTGGTTTAAAATGCTACCTTTAATGCATCTGCACTTTTATGAGTCATAGTGACAAACTGCCAGTTGTAAAAGGTGAAAACTTACCTCCAGAAGTTATTAAAAATAAAAGTGCCAAAAGGACAGAGGAATGAGAACTGGTACAGTTTAGATCCTGTTGACTGGTTTTCTAAAGGCCTCCTTTAAAAACAAAATTACCTAGCTAAGAACTTAAAAGCAACAATGAAGGACAGAAAACACTTCTTGGGTGCTCTAGGCAGCTGCCACAGCGTAGCTAACATGCTGTCATTTCTCACCTGAACAATAATATGATTTTGCTCTACAGCTGTGTTTATGAGGAGGACAGAATTACCCGTGGATGAGAATGCCTCACGGATGACCAAGCAATAGTTATTTTATGGCGTGCTAACGCTTACCTGGGTTGCAGTCTGTTTGTCTGCAACACAGGAACTTCAGGACTGAGAGACTTGCTGGCTCTAAACCTCAGAGGTTGTTGTTTTATTGACTTAGTATGTTTTAAAAAGGCTGAGAGCTGCCAGTCCCTTTGAGAGCAGAGGAGACAAGGTGGTGCCTGCTCCTTTTGTGTGTGTGACAAAAGTGTCTCTGTGAATGAGACACTGATTTTAGAGGGAAGCAGAAAGCTTTGCCCTGTACAAAGTAATACTGGTATAAAAGTGCTACATCAAAAACTTGAGTGCCAGAACAGCAGAAAACAGTATTTGCTGGCTAAGTAATAGCCTTTCTTTAGTATACCATGCATAATAGTCAAAATAAGATTTGTTATTTTTATACTCTACAGAATTTTAGTGTGTGGTTAAGTACTTTTTTTTACTGGGAAAATGAATGTAATCTGTCTGAAAGGTAGTTGGAAACTCACTAAAATCTCACTGTCACATTCACTTTGCCTCTTACAAAAACACTTTCCCGCCTGAGCACCCTAAGTGCTGTGCCTAATTTTATTTTCAGGATTCCAAGCCAGATAGTTCTAAGAACTAAAAATGGAAGTCTTATTTCTAAACTTCATTTGCAATTACTGTAATACTTCCTTCCACTGGCCTAGTGTGATCCTCTAAAAAAATCATATAATAGTCATTAGTGTTCTAGATATCTTCCATTAAAAAGTCACTTGGTTTCTTTGCCCTGGTAAGAAGCAGTCCATTGTAAAGAATAAGCTATTGGTCACTGTGAATAGCAGTACCTGATGAAATGACATCTGTATTTGATTGAACACTTAAACTTGTTAGAACAATTGCACCTCAGTAGAAATACTTGAAAATAAGGATATTACTGATCTTGTGTCCCCACATATATCAGGTTGTCATACGGAGTAGTGATGTCCATTTTCAATGTATTTGAAAATCTTTGTTTAATCTCAAAAATTATTTCTGTTGTGGACTGTATGTTTACTTGTTTAAGGTATGTTTGTATTTGTGTACAACGATTAAGCAATATTTATTTTTATTGTCACCTCAGCTTTTATAATATTTTTGTTTCTGTTTGCAGGGGATTCATTGTAAAAGCAAGCCTTCCAGTGAGTATACCTCATTCACATTTTTACTACATTTGGTTTTGAAAGATAAAGATAATTTATTGCAGCTAATAAATTCACTTGGTGACATCCAATCCCTGTCCTGCCAAGATGTTTGCCACCAGTTTCTTTCTACGAAACACTGCAAATTGGTAGGCTCCTATAAATAATAGGTTAATAATGACTGTGCATTGTTGCTTTATAATTTTCCTTACCATAGATGATCATTGGGAGAATTTGCTTAGTCATTTCATATGTTTTTATTGCTTCTACTTATCATTATTACCTACAGTAATAATACAGCTCTTGAATTACCTGAACCTGAGCATCCATGAATCACTCCTCTAGTGCACATGGTCACTTGACAGGGAAGTATGAGACAGGTACCCTGTAGACTGTTCCCTCCTAGCTGGAGGCCCAACTCTGAGCTCTGCTTGTCTCCATCGTGCCATTCCTGGATGCATTTGGCAGAGTCCACAGGCAGGGAGAAGCTGCAATGCGGAGCTGCAAGTGTGTGAAATGCTGATGCTATGGCATGAGGTGTGAGTTGAATATCAGTGCCGGGAGTCTTACTCTGAAAGCATGGCATTTATGGGACACGTGTTGAAGTGGGGAGAAAGGACATGGCTGTGGAAGGGTGTAGTTAAAAGTCCCAGCTGAAAAAGTCTGAAGTCTTCTGCTGGTGAGCAGAGTGAACCGTTGGTGGCTGGTTCCTAAAGAGAATGAATCTCTTTAGGATTAGGCAGCTGAGCTCCTAGTTACACAAACTACATGGAAGGCTGGAGAAGAAACAGGGACACTGACCTTTGCTCTGCCTCACTGAAGCATGCCTTCATGCCCTTGGGCAGCACAGGCTGAGGAATCCAAACCCTTCAACCTTGATCTCAAAGGGAAGGACACCTGCAATATTGTTGGTTATGAGTTAAAATCTGTGCTGGGTGTTACACAAATTTAGATCTAGATAGTGAAAACTCATTACATGTACCACGAGGTGGTGATTCACCCATCTTAGGACAAGGTCTTTATGTGCTGGGAGGGAGGTGAAAGGGGTTCTCCCTCTGTTGACTGCCAGAGATGCTTAGATCACAGGCTGGTTGAGGCTGGAAGAGACCTCTGGAGGTCATCTGCTCCAAAACCCCTGCTCAGGGTCACGCAGGTGCAGGGTAACGCATATGATGCACATAAGCTTAAAATAGATGTTTAGCTCTTAGCTGGATATACACTTTGGGCACAGAAGAGTTTGTAAGCTAAAGATCTTATCTTTCAAGATGATGTACATGAAGCAGACCTGGTTGTAGGTTTTCAGTGCTGCCTGAAGATGACTTATCAGCTATCTTTAATACAAGTAACACGCCGGATGACTCAGCCTTATGGGGGTGATGAAAAGACATTTTTCTAGTCTTCATCCCAACTCACTTGTGCAACAATGGGTGTATACTCATTTCTATATTTCCTTTTCCATGGTAATTCTTTTTATTATTTACTGAGATAAAATTACCTTAAAAGACCTTAACTGTATAATAGGACACCTTTTCAGTAGTCGCTGCTTTTAGCTGCCACAAAAAGATTATTTCCTTGAATTCACAGCTATGAGATGAGTGGTATTTGGCAGTAGCTTTTACTCTGCCTTCTCCTGCCTGCTCTTCTACACTATTAGTAGTCCCTAAGGGCTACTGTAGTATTTGAAATTCACTGCAATATATCCAGACATTGATATCAATATGTCTATGATTTTTAAAAAGCCTTACATTTGGCACGGCTTGTCACTGTGCTGCCCAATATCCTTGAAAATTTGAAATGTTTCTGAACGTACACCTGTGAAACTCTTCTAATTTACTGTGCATTGAAATCTATTGGGAAAGAGAGGCTGTCAGTCTGAGATCTAATCAATTTCGTAATTGGTGTAAGTACTTTTAAGTAGTCAATTTTGGTATTTATTAACTGAAGTGCACCATGTGGTTATCTTTAGAAGAGGATATCTAGTTTGTTTATGGTTTTGTTGAACCATCCTAACACACAGATGCATCAGATACTGTAGTAAATCATATGCAGATAGGTTAGAAATGCTACTATATTTTATACTCATGGAATGATGCTCCATTGAAGCAGTTTTAGTGTCCTTTAGATATGTTCACAGTTTTAGCACTGTCAGCATCCTAAGTAGTTCAGATTCTTATAATTCCTGTAGGGGAGAAATACAGAACAAAAAACAGTTAGGATTTTCTATTGGGTGTTGGCCTGGACTTGTTAATGTGTTTCCTCTGCAATTTTTTTTGCTGTTCTCCAATTTCATATTCTTGCCTGAGGCTTCAAATTATCCATCTAGTAATTTCTGTTACGTATTCATTGCTCAGCTCTGGCTTCTATTATCCAAGTATACATAAGGTGTGTTTTGCTGTCGTGACAGTTCTGGGTTGATTGCTGCATCATCAGATAAAAAAATAATCTGCTGTGGTTGAGCTGATGGCGAAAGTACAAGGAAAGTGTCTACATGCTGAATGATAAGCCTTGGCTTCTTTATGCCTGGGCTTATATGTGTCCATAATTAAGGAATCTTTTATTACAGCAACAATCCCTCTCTCATGTAGGGCTAATTACAGTTATAGTTCATAAAGTTTAGGCAAGATTTATCCAGCAGATGGTTTGTGTAGCAAGATGTATCTTTATGTCTTCTGGGGTGTAGATCAAGCTACTCGTGAGAAAAGGAAAGAGATGTATGTTCCAGAGGAAACTAAGGCGGGGGGATTAAATGATGATAAGGTAAGAGTTTACTGAAGAATTAGTCAGAAATGAGTGTCATACTGCGATGATTTATAGAACTAAAATTATTTTCTGACAGCTTTTCCTTGTATCATATATTCTTTTTGATCCAAAACTAATATCCTCATGCATGATATGATCCATTTAAGTTATTAATAATGAGTTTTGCAGCAACTTTTGCAACTCTCAAAATGGATCATAATGGAAAAAATCCAAAGTGGAAGAATCATTTTATTTTATCCAGTGTATTGCTTATTTGTTCTGACTTTGAAGGCAGAAACTGTGAAGAAGGACAGTGTCCCTGCTTATGGATAGTCCCCAAAACTGTGTTTTGGCATCTGCCTGATACTAATCTAATGTCAGTAATGCACCTAGTCATGATTTAGAATTCTTCTGAGGTAGTTCCAAGACTGAGACATCTGGTAATACTTTACCTCAGACAGTAATAACTAAGGACCAAATTCAATTAAGTCATGATAGTCTCTCCTAAAAATTAGTAGGGTCAAATAATATAGTCAGATTCACTCAGACAGAATAATTTGTAAAGAACTGTCAGCTGTGTCACTGTATATATATACACATTGCTCTTCCATTAAATTGTTTCTACACAGACGTGGGTATTGGCTAGTTTATAGTCCTGGATCGAGAAATTTACACCAACAGTCAAAGAATTGAGCAGAAACAATCACTCCTAAATACCATTTGGTAATCTCAACTGCATGTCATGCAATGCAGTCAGGAAAGGATCTTTCTGAGGAAAGAGACAGAGCTAAAACTAATCATCACTTATCACATTATTAATAATAATTATCAGGTAGTTCTGCAGTATAATAGCCTCCCAGTTAACTGTGGGTGGATTGATTGGGTGATGTACAGCAGCTCTTCATCCTGATACCTTCGGGATTATTACACCACCCATTCTTGGCACATGGAATACAGTGCTCACATCTGGCAGCTGTGCACTGTACTATAAGCCTGTCTCATCTCTGTGGAAGCAGGTTTACAGATTCTTCAAACGTCTATGTACTCCTCTGCTCTTAAAGCCTCATTTGTATGTTTTGAATGATTTGTGCTTTTTCTTTGGTTTGCACAAATTGTCTTCTCTTGTTGCCAAGATTACCTTGGATAATCAAGAGTTGACTCTACTGTCAGTTGAGGTAAAGTGTCATTGTTTTTCCATTCTTTTCCACTTGGCTCATATCAGTAATCCTGTTGCCTCCAAAAGATGCTTAATGGCTCAAAACCAAGATGATGGAAAGGAGATTCAGGTGTGAAGTGTTTGTTTTTTATGACATTTGATGTGTATCATGAAGGACTTATTTCTCCTGATACCAAGTGTGAGGGCACCTTAAGGCCCGACATGTTCAAGCCTTATGTCAGCCTGTCTTCACATCCTGCATGTATCAGTATCTGATCCTTGACCTTCAGTCTTTAAATTTAGAGCACTTTCCTTCACTGGAGTGGTTGAAGGGGTAAGTATGGATAAGCTTTGCTTGTCCTCCTCCACACCCTACCTTTTCTCTGTGAGAACTGTGGATATGTCTTCTATGTGAGTCAACAGGCATCCATGCTTGACAATTCTTGGGTAGGCATTGAGGGATGCACCCTTTCCTAACAATTTAAGAGTGTTATCCTGTCTTTTATGGTGAGCATAGTGTTGTGGCGCTGCTGTTTCATCCTATGCTCTTCACCATACTAGTTGAACTCCTCCTAGGAGTATGTTAAGCAGTGTAAATAACAAGAGTCGAGTGTTTTTTTTTGTTCTTACAGCCTCTCATGGGGAGAGGAGAATATGCAGTAAAATACTTTGTTTTACTTGGTTGACTTTTGACTTCCATGCTATGTACCAAAGTGGAATGGTAAGAAATGCTTCGAAGAAATTGCTATGAAGTAATTGCAGCTAAACTGAGGTGTGCTGTATTGCATACCACAAAGCCCAGGGGCAAACCCTAATTCCCTGGCTATTTGTTCTGATAGTTTCTTGAATCTCTTAATTTTTGAGACTAAAAGCAGTGTATGTGATATAGAGACTGCCAAGGAATGCATTTGGGATTAAATTTAAAGGTTGGACTTGATGATCTTAAAGGTCTTTTCCAACCTATTTGATTTTATGATTCTGTAAATCCACTGTACCAACATAAATTCATACATAAATACTTGATTTCTGTGCAGGGCAGTCTGAGAAATAAAAGCAGATAAAATATCATTCACTGATGAGATCTGGGGCCTCTTTGGGGGGGATTTCCATAGGAAAATAAAATGAGACATAGTAGTTACGTTCTGTGCCTACTGTTTGCACCTTGAAGAAAGCCTGGATAATATTTATCCTGCTCTTGCTGTTCTGGCCTAAAGCAGAAGGAAATCTTGTAGGTGTGAGGGACTTTTCCAGGACTAGGAATACAATGGTGCCCTCTTGTGTGAAAGGGATATTTTAACATTTAGCATTTAATTTAGCATTAACTAAATCTAAAATTAAAATGCTATCTATGAGAGTGCTAATAAGATACAGGTAATGGTTTTGAAAAAAGTTTAAATGGATTATTAGCCTAGCCAAGATCTAGCAGATATGATTATTTAAAATCACTTTTAGTATAGGTGTGCTCTTCTAGCTTTAATTGTTAGAAATGCGATTCCTTTCTCTTATGGGTTAACACTTCCCTAAGCCAGGAAATGTATTATCAAACCCCATGTGCAATTTAGTTCTTTCCAATCCCCCCTGCATTGGTAGTGAAGCCAACTAGCTATATTGTCCATGTGAAAGTGTTAAGTAAATTACTGGCTTTGCTGAAGTCAGTGGTGACTTTCTTATTGATTTCAGTAGAACTGGAGCTTTATCTTTGGTGCTTTCTCTGACTCAGGTATCCTGTGCACAATGAGATTTCTCTTTCTTTGCATTTGCAGGTGATATTTTTAACAGCTTCTGCCATGATGCTCCTGCATCCTTACCTTCCATGGTACTGAAAAGCATGAAGATCTCAACAGTGATGAAATGTGCCCAAGGAAGCCCATGCTCTCTTCATTTAAACATTAAAGGAATACTGAGTCTGGATGGTAGGAAGCAGATTTGCTACTGAATATTTCTGTTTACTTTTTGTTTGTAGATTTTCAGCCAAATTTTGTTCCATATTGCAATATTTGTGTCCAAGCTGTTTTCATGTAATTAGAAAGATTTTTTTTTGTGAAACCATGTTACTACAAAACAGGATAAAGCTGTGGCCCCTCTCAAGGGGGTGAGAACTGAGATAGTGAATTAAAGACAACTGAATTTTTCCTTCCAACATAATACACTTATCCTCTACCAGTGCCCCAGGCATAATCCTGCCCTTTTCTTTCTTGCTCTGACATGCATGCATGCACACACACACACACTAATTCTCTCTGCCCTGCTAACCCAGATGTGAGTGACTGCCCCAATAGAAGGAAAAAACAGATTATGTGTCTGAAGTTACAATTCTGCTCTAAAGTAAAATGAAAGCACTCAGACTTTTGGGGCATAGTCTATTTTTACTAACACCTCACCATTCGTGTGCTTAGTGTGTTGCTATTTAGATATTTCCTGGTGTGCTTCACTCAGAGTTAATAGGTTTGGTTTTGTTTTGTTGTTGTGCTTTTTTTTTTTTTTTTTAATTTGCATGAGATTTTGCATAATTAAAGTTTTAATTTGTAGTAATCTGTATTAAATCCTTGCTCCTACTCCCATTTGTGTGTTATATATAATGTCCCTTTTTTAACAAGATAAAACACATGTGCTTTTCACTCAGAAGGAAAGCTTACAATATGATATATTTTAATTTCTTTTTTCCTTTTCTTAAAGATGCTCAAATTATGGTTTTGAAATCTATTCCTAACTCATTTCAGAGAATATCCGTGGGCTGGAAATCTGTTCTCTTTCACTGGACACACAGCAATCTCAGTGCATAAACGTGAGGTTTGCTAGGAAAAAAAGCAAGATGCTTAATGGAAAAAAGGTAGACTTCTTTATTTTGGGTTGATATTCTTTTAAATGTTTATGAGACTTTGGGAAAATAAGGATTTATGTCTCCTATTTTCTGTTTTTATTAATTTTGTGGAAAACTGCAATGAAATGTATGCTTCAGCATTGTTAGATGAAACTAACAAAATGTTCTTTTACAACCTGTAAGTTGAATTCTCCACCATTTTTGTACTTCCTCCACTTAACTTTTTTGCAAGAGAAGCTTCCTCTGCAAAGCCTAATTTTCACAACAACCTTGCTAGCTTTCCTTTTGCACCCACCAAATTGTGGGAAAACTTTTGTAACTCCAAATGATAGGAAGCACAATTCCACAGGGATTTTAAATGCATACATATGATTTATGTGAGTCCAACCATCTAAGTGGAATTTACACATCTAGAAGACAGCCATTGTGTCCTAAACTCATGGTAATAAATGCAACAACAGAGTACAATTTTTTACTTTATTAAACCCAGAAGTATTTGTTATTAAAATTTACAACTGGGGATAAAACATAAGAACCATCCTTGACCAACTGTTTAAAAGACAGTTACTGGTGGGTAACTGTTATTAAAATGTGTTACTTCATGTGCTTTGTAAATGTTACACTGATTGCACATGTGAAATAAAGTTCTTGTTCCAAACTGCAATTGCAGTTTATGCTCTGTACCACTTGATGATCAAACGGTCTTACAGGCAATGTAGGGCCAGCATTGAACAACTGGTAGCTTTCAAAGTAAGCTAAGTTTATAGGCAAGAATCAACAAACACATTTAATTAAATTTTCTTAGTTTTAGCTCAGTGACTAGAATGGTAATGTAAGACGCCTTTTCCCCTCCAAATGCCTGGTACCAAATAAGAATATACACAACATGAAAACCTACATAAAATTTAATAGTTACTGCTGTCAGAATGACATGCTGTAACTGGACCTCAACTTTTGTTACCTAAATTATTTTCTCTTTCACAAACTGTTACTGGAGTGAACACATTTGCTGATGCTGCCATTAAATCTTTAAACAGACTTTTTTTCCCCTATCTTGCAAGTGTTTGTGCTTGTAAAATGCCTGCAAATTGGGACTTTTGGCAGTGTGAAAGAAGTTTTTGCTTTCGAAGTCCAACAAGCCTTGGATACCTGTATGCTTTTAGGATTAATTGATGGCTTGTAGAGATTCGGATTTGTGGAAGTGATGAAAACAGCAACATCCTGAATTAGAAATAATGATACCCTTTGAAATCTTGATTATTTTACATTCTTACTGCTACAATATCTGAGACTGCTTATTGCTCCTTGTAAATATAAATAAATATGATCAAAGAATATTACTTGCTTAGCTCTAATGACCAGTGGTTTTCATGTATTCTGGAAGTCACACACAAACTTGATTTTGTAAATGTTTTAAACAGGTACAGATACAATTCAATTGCATTGAAGTCAATGTAGCACAACACATCTATGTGACCATGAAAACAGTACCAAATTACTGTGAAGTCAAGCTGAGTCAGGAATACTATGTTGAAGGTAGGAAAACATCTTAAACCAGATGTTTTTCAAGAAACATCTTCTCAAATAAAAAACTCAACACAACCCCAAAAAAGCCCAAATGCAAAGCCAAATCACATTCTGGGATACACTGATCTAATTGATGGTCGTTCATGTATGCAAAGACCAGTCTTATTCCGCATTTTGATGATTTATTTTATGCATATGAATGTCTGACTTGCTATAAAAAAGAGAGACCAGAGTTTATATCTAACAGTACATGGGAAACTGAACTACACTATGTGTTCATCCTAATTGGCCTTCTTGTAACTGGCATGGGCTCTTTCTCTCCCTGCAGGTTCAATTCTCTGTGCTCTCTGTGCAGACTGTTGAGCCTCTGCCTCTCTTCATAGTTAGGCCACAGGTGGTTTCAGAGGCTGAAGAAAACTCAATAAGAAAATGCAAAGAAATTTCTTTTACTTCCATTAGCTAGCTGTTCTGTCTCTTGATTTCATGTAACTAGATAAGGATAGGTATCACTTTTCCACGGTTTTAGGGTAAAGCGCCTACCATATGCATATAGAAATAGTTTCAGTGCTGTGGTCTAACCAAGACGCAGTGTGGCTAGTGGAGACTAAATGGTGGTGCAAAAAGTGAAATGAGACCCCATGTTTGATCCAGTGCCTGGGACTGTCCTGCCTTCCCATCTGCAGAGCCCGTGGATGGGTATCTCTTGCCCTTTCCCGTTGGTAGAGTGTCATCCCTTCCACACAGCATCAGGCACATTTTAGCACTTTCACGCTTTCCTTGGAGTAAAGCATTTTTGCATCTAAAAAGCCTTTCATTTTCTTGATAAATCCCGTTTCACTGTTGAAGTAGATATGTACTTTGTGAATAAAGAGGGGGAGGAAACACGGTTTTATAAAGATGAGTTTTAAGACAGTCTTCAGACAGTAAGGGTGAGTAAACAAACGAAAATAGGAAATATTTCCCAGGGAAAAGAGTTGTGTGGGAAATGACAGCAAAGTGCTGCCCTGAGTTAGGCAAGGAGAGGTGAAAACAGTAGGCATATTACGAGCTGATACAGTGTTCTTAAATCAAGATTTAATTTTTGGAGATACAAATATTAGGTATTAGTTCTGAAAGTATTGCCTGGGCTGTAATCCTTCCTGGGAGCTAAATAAGGTGTTTCTTTCTGAGCCTAGAGTGCAGTCAGAATAGCAAAAATACAAAGTTGTTTATAATAGAGGAACGTGCTTGGTAAACAACAGGAGTAGCTTTCAAGGGAAGGATAACTGAAATAATAATAGTAACAACAGCAACAACTATTATTATTAATTAAATTACTGTTAGGTACTAGGTAAAGAAGTGCAGTGTTATAATCGAGACTGCCACCTTAAACTGCTGCTGAGGTTTTCCAGTAGACATCCCCCACCAGTGAGACAGTTGCTTAAAGCAAGTTGTGATATAACCTCTGTGTGTGGCAAGGGTACTTTTCTTTTTTGGTGTTTATCTAGAAGTGGATGCAAATCTGCTTTTAAAAACAGGCATAAGAGAGAAGTTTCTGGTTGGGAAGCTTTTGGATAATTTGGCAGTTTGTTTACACAGTTATATAAATAAAACAGCACTGAAGAAAACTCTAGCTTCTATTTTGCAGATTGCAGAAACAGTGATGTGGGAAAATATATTCCAGCTTGTTCAGGTGAGTTGATCTTTTATAAGATTTAAAGCTGTGAGATATTTCTAGTGACATATACAGAGAAATGTTTTCATAGCTGAATAAGCAGGGAAAAAAAACAGTGACTTACAACTACCATTACTTATAATTACCATGTAGTTGATAGGTAATGTCCTGGAAGGTGTGTTTCTTTATATTGACTTGGAAATTCTAGATAGCAGATAAAGATATTGACAACCTATTTAATACTTAAAATTTTGGAAATCAGTTTGTGTCCTTTTAATTCTTTTCAGATTGCTGGTTTTATATTTTGTCTGTGGACAGATCTCATAAATAAATTTAAATTAATTTGCCAAACTGCTATCCTGATTTTGGCACACCCATGAATAAAAAAACCCCACCATCCCCACCATTGTATTTGTCTGACATAGCTGCACGTAGCAGCAGTGAATGCACCCTCCCTGGGGACATTCAAGGCCAGGCTGGATGTGTTTCTGGGCAACCTGATCTAGTTGAAGATGTCCCTGCTCATTGCAGGGGGGTTGGACTAGATGAGCTTTGAAGATCCCTTCCAATCCAAACCATTCTATGATTCCATGATATTCTCTATGTAATGAATCATAGAATCATAGAATCGTTAGGGTTGGAAAGGACCTTAAGATCATCTAGTTCCAACCCCCCTGCCATGGACAGGGACACCTCACACTAAACCATGCCACCCAAGGCCTTGTCCAACCTGGCCTTGAACACTGCCAGGGATGGAGCATTCACAACCTCCCTGGGCAACCCATTCCAGTGCCTCACCACCCTAACAGGAAAGAATTTCCTTCTTATATCCAACCTAAACTTCCCCTGTTTAAGTTTGAACCCGTTACCCCTTGTCCTGTCACTACAGTCCCTAATGAAGAGTCCCTCCACAGCATCCCTGTAGGCCCCCTTCAGATACTGGAAGGCTGCTATGAGGTCTCCACACAGCCTTCTCTTCTCCAGGCTGAACAGCCCCAACTTTCTCAGCCTGTCTTCATACAGGAGGTGCTCCAGTCCCCTGATAATCCTCGTGGCCTCCTCTGGACTTGTTCCAACAGTTCCATGTCCTTTTTATGTTGAGGACACCAGAACTGCACACAATACTCCAGGTGAGGTCTCACAAGAGCAGAGCAGAGGGGCAGGATCACCTCCTTCAACCTGCTGGTCACGCTCCTTTTGATGCAGCCCAGGATACGGTTGGCTTTCTGGGCTGCAAGCGCACACTGAAGCCGGCTCATGTTCATTTTCTCATCAACCAACACCCCCAAGTCCTTCTCCACAGGGCTGCTCTGAATCTCTTCTCTGCCCAACCTGTAGCTGGGCCTGGGATTGCTCTGACCCAGGTGTAGGACCTTGCACTTGTCATGGTTAAACTTCATAAGGTTGGCATCAGCCCACCTCACAAACGTGTCAAGGTCCCTCTGGATGGCATTCCTTCCCTCCAGCCTATCAACCGAACCACACAGCTCGGTGTCATCGGCAAACTTGCTGAGGGCGCACTCAATCCCACTGTCCGTGTCAGCGAGAAAGATGTTGAACAAGACCAGTCCCAACACTGATCCCTGAGGGACACCACTCGTTACTGGTCTCCAGCTGGACATTGAGCCGTTGGCCACAACTCTATGTGTGCGGCCATCCAGAGAGTTGAAATTGAAACCTTAGTATAATCAACTTTTGTAGTAGTTGTAGTGTATATATTTCAGGTATTTGTACATTAACTACATGATATTTCAAGTACTAAGGTTGAGGTACAATCAGTAAGTGTCCTGGCCTCTCAGTATTGCCAATGCTAATTTTAAACAGAATAATATTGAAATTTATTCTCATGAAAATGATTGTATTTCAAAAAATAATAATATATTTAGGAATATCAGAATATAAAGTTATAAAATTCATTCTGTACCTTTTCTAAAGAAATAACAAAATAGAAATAATAAAGTAAAAAAGAAACAGATGTGAATTTCATGCTTGAGTTTTCTTTTTTAGCTGGAAAGTTTGATTATAATGTGGACAGAGCAAGGAAAATTATTTCAGTGAATGTATCCAACTTTCTTCGAGATCAAGATTATTACATTCGCCTGTGCCACAAATGGTTTACATGTGAAGATGTAGGATCATTTGCTATGGTGAGTTAAAGCTCAAAGCAGTTTGTTGAACTGATGGGAGGTGATTTGTATGTGGAAATGCTCATTGAGGTCATAGTCATAGGAAATGGCTTTCTGTAGCTTTATTTAGCTTTATTAAAACTAATTTACTGTCCTGGCTTCATGGCTGTCTTTTTAATTTCAGATAAAAGGGAAGGAATCACTAAAATCAGTTTCTCTGAAATATTCTCGGCTGCTGCCTTGTCTTTGCATTGAGGTAATGCAATCTGGAATTTACTATATACTTGAGTTTCTGATTAAAGAAATTTTATCTCTGATTTGTGCTAAGAAAGGAGGAAAAATCTGTAAGAGAAAGGTTCTAGACCTAAGTTTTTTACAAAGGCTTGTCTAACTTTATGATTATGTAAATGAAGAATATATTTTTTAAGGAAACACTAATTAAAACACAGAGATAAGAAAATGGGAGACAATTTACATTAATTTATGGAAAGTATTGTGTAAGATTAATTTGACTGTTTTTTTTCTAAGCAATGAAAAGAAAGAAAATTTAATCTGACTGAATTCCAGCATAGCATCTGATATAGTACTGCATGAGAAACTAAAAGAGGAACTGAAGAAGCTGGGGGTGAGAACAAGATTTGTATGGTAGATAACACCTAGCTGGAGGGCTAACTTGACTACTCCTGTTGAATGGGGCTGTGCTAGTAGGAAGGTTATTTAAGGACCACACTTAGAGCAGTTTTTGTATAAATGTTTTCATCAATGACATGGGCACAAAAAGTGTGAATGTGTTAAAGAGGTTTGCTGATAACACAGTTGAGAGGTGTAATCAAAATGAGAGAGGGTCGGGATAACTGGAGGAGACTAGAGATCTTTATATGTGACATAACTAAAGGTGGATAAAGTGTAACATATGAAGTGTAAGTTCATGCACTTGTTCTAATAGAAGGAGCTCTTGTTGTAAGATGCAAGTCTTCATTTAGAAATAACAGTGGAGGAAAAAAGATTTGGGTGTAATAGTTCATTGCAGGATGATTAAACTAACATGCTTACATGATGTAAATATGAACAAAGGTCTAGTGCATTACGTTATTCTAAACTAACAGGAAAGTACAGGCAAGGCCTTCTTTGAATACTGTTTACATTTCTTGTATCTGTACTCAAGAAAGATTGATTCAAATGGAAGATGTACATAAAAAATCTAAAATGGTTGGGGAATGGAGAGACTGTCTTATAATAAAGATTCAAAGAACATGTTTTCATTAGCATAGTAAAACACATGAAAATAGAAAATACATTTGTGGTCTAAATATATATCAGAAGGGTCACTTATACAGAAAAAGAACAGCTTTTTGAGCTAAAGTCATTCTTGCCACAAGAATGGAGAAAACATCATTTCATGAATATATTCAGGATAGCTACAGACTTTTTACTTTTTATTTCTGATCATCTGAGAAGTGAGATTTTGGAGTATCTTTCATAAAAAGTTATAAAAAGTCACCAGCCCAATTTAAAATGATCTTGGTAAAAGATATAAAGATACCATGTGAACCTAGTTTCTCAGTGAATTTTGGGATAGGATTTAAACCTCATGGATTAAGACACCTAAATGTTGATGTTCTCTTGTAGATATCTACAATTGAATTAGATGTCCAGACTCTTTATTCAATGGAGATCTAGTTAATGTAGTCAGTTAACCAACCAAATGTTGATGGCTATTCTGAGATGTGATGGATAGCACTGTAGACTGCATTGGCTTGACTCCATTTGGTCATTGTAATAGTAATTTGGGCACTTTAGTCACACGCACTCAGATGTGTGCGCTGTAGGCACCAAAAATCATATACCTTAATATGCAAGTTGAACCACAGGGTCTTTTCCAAGCCTAGGGATTTTTTTATTCCACTCTGAAAGGTATGAGGTCACCGGAAAGATGTTATTTCTCTCAGGGTATATGCAGAGAATTCCACAATACGATTGCTGAGCAAACAGATGGGAACTGTGAGTAATAGGAACATCTGCACATTAATCTAAATAATTAGGTTATAATAATAGCCATGCACATATACTTGCAGATTGGGTTACGCTTTAGTCCTCAGATTTTAAGGATACATCTTTTACCACTACAAAGGCCAGAAGGTCTGATACTGAGATTCTTGAATGTCTTTTATTACCCCTGGAAAGTAATGACACTGTAAGAAACTTAATGAAAATCAAACTGGAAGACTTTCTACAGGAAAATATATGACTTTCTGCGGCTAAATATATGACTCAGAAATAGTAACAATATAGTGTTAGAAGGGATCCCTGTGGTTCATCAGCTCCAATTCCCGTAACGACAAACGATAAAATAGATATCTAGTGCAAAAGTTTCTTTTAAAAAAATACTTCCAAATCTTTCTAATAAACACGACATCTTTATCTTTGGCGGAAAGGTTTTGTGTCTAATTCTGACTAAAAGGTTAAAACCTGTTGTATCTGAGAACCTCTAGCTAATGACCACTTTTTGGGTTGTAGGGCTGGCTGGCAATTCCAGATGCAAGGAGGATACAACTTTGCCCTTTTGAAAATGGCAAGTACTATGGGATTACTTTTTATATGAGTAGCTCCAGTGGCATGTCACAATTTGAAATTCACTTAAAACCATACATTGCAAAACTTCAAGGAAATCATCGTATTGTTTTGTTTCACTGTGGGTAGACTAAAGAACTTACTCTCAGACCAAATTGTTCACCAAGTTTATGCCAATATAAACACTAAGTAACTTTCCAGTAATTTCCCACATTTTCTAAATCACACACAAACTGGCCAGAAGAAGGAAAAGCCACTGAGGTCAGCTTTGCAATACTGCTATGAGAAGAGGACTTCAGGGAGAGATTTTCCTCTTTATTGAGCCCAGTCTTCATTCCCAATTTATTTTATTGTGGAAGAATATAGAGTTTATGACACTACCATTCCTTTATAGCAATGGAGTGCAGTTTGAATAAATAAATTTTCTCTATTTATGCAATAGAGAGCACATACAGGAGTGCTCAAGCTCTGTCTGTAGCTATGTATATGCCATGTAGTCAGATCTGGCTTAAAGGTCATCAAAGCAAAGCCTATTGGCCATCTGCAGTATGAAGTCCTAACCTCTATTCTTAGTAGCTGTTCAGCCTGAGAACGGGTCTCATGGGGCACAGGTTGTTTTTTTCCAATTTTACCTATTTCCTGTGCTTGGAATAGTTATGATTTGCAAGCGCAGGAAATCTGGATCATGGATCCCATGATTCTTTTCTTCCTTCTTTATTCTGTGTCTTTTCCTTCCCCTCCAACTGCAGTCATTCTCTGATGCCTACTACAGGGATAGCTGAAGCATAGGTTACAAACCTGTGTGTTGTCACAGGAAGGACAACACTGCAGTTTTGATGGGTGAAAATACCAAGGAAATGGAAAAGCAATGGTTTTGGTTTTAAGCACATGCATAGGTACCAGGTTTATGAACAATTCTGATTCATCTTTGACATCTTTAATAACATTTCCACTCTTTGTGCACAGATACGAAGGCACTATGGGATAATATTGTTTATAACCCAGTGACACAAACCCTAGCTTGGGAGCCAGCCTGTCCTGTGCTTGTCATTGTTAACCTATGCAGGTTAATGAAGTCTAATGACTACTGTGAAGATATACAAAACTCTTCCAGAAGTTCTCCTGAGAAAGTAAGAGCTGTGCAGATTTATTCAAACTGTGAGATTGAAAGCCACTACCAAAGGCATAATGTGAAGAGCTGGACTTTGGAAAAAAAAGCAGTTGCAAATTCCTCTCTTCTTCTCTGAGACTTAAAACTATTCATAAACACAGTCTGTTCTTGTACACTAACCACATGATTTATTCAAAATGCTCACTGACTCACTACTAAGAAATAAAAAGTGGAGATGACTGTGAAGCTACTAATGTCTGCTAAGTTCTTTGGGGTAAATTGGGTCTGCTTTTCATTTATAGTAAAGGCAAGATTCATCTGCCCTGACATTTTTAAAAGATAGGTGTTCAAGTCTATGCTATTCATGTCAGATGCCCTTTAAAGTGAGTGAAAGACATACTGAGAGAACAATTCTTTTCATTTGAAGATAGGCATAAAAGAAAGATAGGAGGGATTTCCCTCTGAAGGTACCTCTTTCTTTTAACTGAGTCTATTATTATTGGGTCAGATTTGGATATTTAACATTTAGACGCCTAAACTGTAAGTGAGGTGAGGCTAAACATCATTAAATATTACTGGAGACATGACAGTGCTTTGGTAAGGCAGAATTGCTTTGTACCCTATTAAGATCTCTTTGAAGTGTCTTCCTCAGCCTGGTCCGATGTCTCAAAATTGGGCATGTTGAAATTCTGGGTCCCTGAGTTCTTCCAGCGCTTATGTTCTAAAATTGAAAAGGGTTTTTATGACATGTATCTTTCAGTGCTTCATACTTCAATCTGAAGTCTCATGATGCTGATTTATGGATTTATTAAGTAGGTTGGTTAGAATTCCAGCTTTTGTCTTGAAAAGTAGGTTTCAGGCTTTGCTCTCTTTGTGGAGATGAGCCAGAAAATTTGAGGTAACAACTCAAAAGGCAAATAAAATCCAATAAAAATTCTTAATTTTTTGAAATTTTATAAGTATTATTCTGATGACGTGATCTGGGGGGACTGACTCAAGCCTGTTGAATGCTTTTTGATTAGGAGCTCCTGGCCAAGTGTTTAGTGATTCTTCAGATTCACCATTTTATGGCTTTCAACAAAACTTTGATCTTGCAAAGGCAATTATATTTAATTTTACACATGTGAGTGGCCCCTGTGGGATTTGTCATCTGCTGACAACAAGCACAACTCTTTGCTTGAAGAGGAGAAAAATAAAAAAGCCTCAAATGAGGTTTGGCTGGCAGTGCTCATCTCCATTACCCGGAACACAATCCAGTGTTAGTTTATTACAGACAAGGAGGGTATTTACTCATTGCTTTTACTGGCTGAATATTAATTCATGGACAGAATGAATTTCCTTTTTCCTCTAATTAATTCTAAAAGTTTTGATATTGAATTTGGTTCATTTATTGTGCAGTAACCCTGAAAAACTTCTCTGTAGTGTGCTGGAGATGGCTGCAGAGGTTACCCAGGTAGTGCTAGCTCCCCCAGTAAATCTACACAATGCTCCATCCTCTAATACTATGCCCATGTACTGACTTAGGCCCAAAAGCTACATAACTCTTCAAATTAGGATAGGGCTTTCTCTGCTGATGGCAATGCTGTCTCCATATCTGAGTGAACTCTTACAGAACTATCTTCTGTGACCATCTTGTAGGTATACATGAGGATATACATTATGTTCTTATCAAAAAGTTACAGGAAAGAGGTGTGTGGTCACAATGCTATGTGTTGTGCTCACTCACTTGAGCAACAGTGTTTATTAAGAAAGATCACTTGCATGGGTAATAATTGTTCATAGGAGACAAGGCTTTTTATGGTGAAGCCCTTGGTGGGTAAACAGTTGTTAGGAAAACACATTTTGTAGGTCACTTTAAATGGATGTCTAAAATTCAGATTACTTTTAATGCTTTTCTGGAATAGGGATACAAAAAATTAAAATATTTCTGAACTGAATGTGGAACGGCACTTGAGGGTGTATGTCTCAATGTTCCGCTGAGTTGTTGATGAGTGGTAAATAAGGGACTGAAACAAGGCTGTGTAATCAGAATTTTGCACAAGCACCACCACAGAATCAATTCATTGAGCTCTAATGGGTCAGACTGACTGCATAAAATGTTACATGTTACAGATAAAAAGAAGTAAATTGTTACTCCAAAGTAGTGATTGTTTCTATTCTTACTGTTTTATGTGCTTAATTTCCTGGGATGTTTATAGAGGAAACGAACCAGTTCCTGTCTCAGTAATCAAACCATGAATATTTTGGGCAATTGTTTTTGTGAAGCTAGTTAATGAAACCAGCTAATGCCGACTGCTCTCTTTTCAAGCAGGTTAAATATTCTCGTGTGGACACTCACCCAAGGCTTTGCATGAAGGTAAAGGGATTTGTTTGTAAACCACCTATTACCTGCCCTCTTCCCGTCAGCTCTAAAAAACTGAGTTGCTAATATTCTTTAGGATCCATATTTTCTTTCATAGCTCTGCTGAATGGGAAGTAAGAATGAAGGAAATGTGAAAGATTGGACTAAAAGGAGGTTCTTTGGAAGTGCACCAGCAATAATACATAGGGGACAGGTCAGATTGTGTGCTCTGTTTTCTCTGCTTAAGAAAAGCAGGGAAAAAATGTTTTAGGTCAATGCAAACTCTGAAGTATGCACTACACTTAATGTAAAAGGTTTTCCATATTAGGTACTTGTTAATAAAAATGATTGACACACTACATTTAGTGGAGTGTCTTTTATTATTCTAGTTGAGAAAAAGATGCCACATAAGGTTAATATAGGTATATTATTGCTTTCTTTTAGATTACTTTTAAGACAATGGAACTACATGTTTCTGTAAAATAAGCATGTGTATAAATACCTGAAGTATTGGGGGGACCTAATTTAAATCAAGGGTTGGAAGAAAAGCTGTGAATTCACTTTCTCCAACTTTCTGGAATGCACTGATCTGTATGAATGAATCTGTAGCCACAGGCTGAAACTAAAAATTTAGTTTTCCTAACAGATTTCTCTGCTTTCAGTTTACAACCAAACAAGGCTCTTGGGTTAAATGTCCATTTGCTCATGGAGAATTTCCAGGTAAATACAGACTTTTTAATTACATAATATTAAATTGTGAAAAATATTTAAATCAGTCACTCTTTATGAGCCTTCTCTAGTAAGCAAATGAGATGTGTTCACAACACTGTAGCTTATAAATTATGGCAAAGAGATTTGATAGCTTGTTATTTCTATGTAACCCCAGTAGATCAAGTGTTTATCAGTATAAAAAGTAACTTGTGGGAATCAAAAAAAATTACTCGCATATCACTTGATGGCACTTAACAAACTAAAAAGGCTTTTATTTTAGATATAACAACTTAGAATGTATGTCCTTGTACATCTAAAAGTAAGTCTTTTCCTCTAATATCAGCTTGGAAAATGAGAACTGCTGCAGTTGCAGAACAAATACAAGTTTTCTTCACATCCCAAACCAAGGCACAATTCTCAGTACTTGTGTGTAACAGGACGCAGCTGGCCTCATGTGAATCTCTTGGGATGCACCATTCAGTCTCTGTGGTTTGTATATATTATTTCTTAAACACTCTAAGACTTTTTGACAGATCTAACTGCATTCATTTATTTATTATTCTGTTTATTGCTCTGCAGCTTGAAAGCATTAATAAACCCATGTACATATTGGAACAATTACCGGAACTTTTTTAAAGTTGTAGTTCTAATTCTGATCTCACACTGAAGCAAGAAATAAATAAGATCCTGAAGTCAAATGAGTCACATCAAAGGAAGTGACTATTGAGCGGAAACTTAATATTCTTTTAACATCATTTTGTGGTATATTATTTGTATTATGTATATAGCAAAAGTTAGTGTTAGTGTTTCATATATGGATCACTGGTACATCTGACCTGGCAAATTTCACATCATGAAATGTAAGACTTGAGGCATAAATCCATGATGATCTTGAGCTGCTCTGACTTCCACAGCTGCCAAAACAATCTCAACACTCAAAAAAGGTAAGTTTTCAGCCAAATTAGCTTTTTGAGCCAGCAGGCTGTGTGAGTACACAACTGCTTCTTCCAGCAAAGCTGGGGGAGAGAAGGAAGAGATTATGGGCGGGTGATTTCTGTTTCAGGCACAGCTAGTGATTCCTGTCTTGCAGCTAAGCCCGTATCATGCATTTTCAGTGCAGTAAGCTGTCCTGCCCTTGCCCTTCAGCACAGCCTGCCAGAGTTACCCTGTTGGACTGATCTGTGATCTAGCAAGAGGTACATCTGGAATGTGGGGTCAAGGAGCAGAAGAATGGCCATAGCATTATTTTTCAAATAGGAGAATATAAGCAGGATAAGTCCTAGGAGCTACTAGGACCACCATGCTGAAAGGTATCCAGCTGGTTCAGGAGCCAGCTCCTTGGTGGTGTTATGTCCACCCCCAAATGTGTGCTCCTGCTGTCTGCTCCCCTGACCAGGTATATGAGATGTCGTATGATGGACTTTGAGAAAGCTGAGAAAACCAGATATTGTGATTTCCACTGTTATTCCTGACTGTGTGCATTGACTTCACTCTGCTGTAGAGGGATGTGCTTTTGAAGAGAGAAGTATGTTGTAGCTCCTACACCTCTCTCCTTTTTAGGATACTTACCAGCTGTACTTTTTTCTTGCCACTGTATGCAGGTATATGCTGCAGCTGTGACTTTTTGAAGTACCTCTGATGCTTTCACTGTGCAGGGTGTACATACCAGGGGGTATATACGAAGCAGGCCTTTATGAATAAGGGTTTCTTAAACTGAAAAGGGTGGGCACTGACAGCTGAATTAATTTTCTAATGAATCAGTTTAGCTCTTACACCTCTGGTGCTGAATGCAACAAAGCAGCTGTTAAAAGCAAAGTTTCCTAACTCAGTTTTGCTGCTCAAGCCGAGAACATGCTTTAGTGGAACAATATAACTGCTCCTGCAGGTGATCCTAGAGCTGAATAATCATGGAGAAAAGCCCAGGAAGAAACAGCTCTCCAAATCAACAGACCACAGAGGGCATTGTGGTGCTATGAAGAGCCTGTCCTAGTAACCTAAAGGTTTCCTTCGTGAATTGTTAAGTGAGATGGGGTACCAGTAAGTCACAGCTAGGTTTTGAAGTTTGCGTTTTGTGAAGGGGACTGATGCATTTAAAAATGCTGTTTTCTTCCCTCTTTTACAAGCTGTTATATCCGCAGCTATTGTAGCGGAATGGAAGCCCAATAAATTACATACATTTTCTGTCACAACGCCATGAGCAATGTACACAAAGTTTTCATCAAGACTTAGCTCTCTGCTGTGAGAAACCAAGATTCATTCTGCACAATCCCTGTGAATTTGTGCTTGAAAAAAGAACATATTCATCTAATTTGCCCCCAGTTATTTTTGGAGTTTACCACGCTAAAAAGAGCAGTGTAGGATTCATAGTTATTAGTGGAGTACACTAGCATTATTTTGAGGACAAACCAGAAACAATCAAACATTAAGTTTCAGGACAGTCACGTAGGACAGTTTTACCCCAAGGCTGAACTTATTCTTAGCATACAATGCGGTAGGAAGTCCAGAAGAACTGTAAAGAAAGAGTCATTCCTTCAACTCATGTACACCAGGGAAATGAAATTAAGATGGTCATTGGCTAACATGGTGTGAGCAGATATGGCAGGGAGGATGTCCTGACTTTTGGTGCTTCATAAAATGGGGGAACATTAGCCCTCTTCCTGTGCTACCCAAATTGTGCTTGGCAAAACTACACCACTACTTACGGTCATTGAGATCTGGGGATATCTCTGAAAATAAATGACCTTCCAGAGTGAATATGTACTTTATTAATTTTCTGACAGGATAGAACGTGTAGTATTACTGGCAAACAAACCAAAATGCTGGAGAGACACAATATATTTCCATTGTTCCAGGGTATGGAAAATAATAATTTTCAATTCCTTTATTTTCATTAGGGAGATTCTGTATCAATTGCTATGTCACAGGAAATGTGTGGGTCAGCGTTTTGCATTCAGGTATGTGTCCTGATTTTGCCTGGTACTCTCTACAAAGTAAAGCATCAAAAAAAGGAAACCCAGCAGGCACTCTCACTGCTTTCCCTTCCCAGCCAAATCTGAGTACTGTGAAAACAGAGCTGGCAAAGAGCATTATTTATAGCTTGATGTGCTGCCACCACCTCTTGTTGAGATGACTTTAATTAACAAAGAAGTTGCTCTCCATGATCTTGCTACTTTGTCAGTGGCATATAAAGGGATACCAACAGGAAATTGCTAATCCTGTCTTTATACATTCCTTTGTAATAAAAAGTTCCAAGGTATCGAAAGATCCAAGTAAATCCTAGATGAGTTTTTCAAAGATGATTGGCATTAGCTGAAGAAAGTTAGACATATAGCAAACAGCACGGTAAGTGCATCATAGCAGGCTAGAATTAGTGCTCCTGAAAGCAGAGCTAAGCAAATGATTTTTGACATTTTTGCACGTTGTTTCTGTAGCTGAACTTTATTAGGACAACATTAATAGAAAATGAGCATGAAGCTGGTAGGTTTACTTGTCTCTGGAGTTAGTGTTCTCAACAGACACCAGGACAAGCTGTTGTCAGCTTCACTTTCCAGTGCTAGGAAGAAAGGGAAAGGTGAAAGTGAGACTGACAACAGCCTTCTGGGTAATGACAGTTCTTTCCCTAGTGAAAATCAGATCTGGTGGTAAAACTGGTGTTTACTTATATAAATAGTTTATTTTGTAAATAAGACATTATCTGTCACAATAAAGCCCCCACCCAAGAAAAAAAATCTGATTGGCTTTATCATTAAAAACCTAAAAGTGATTGAAACTCACTAAATATGCAACAGACCAATCTCCATATGCATATATTTAAAAACAAATTAAAAAATGTAGTCATTTGTGTAAACTAATAAAGCAACCTCATTTTGTCAACACAAGTGTTTAGTAGCAGTGCTGCTGAAAGGGGAATAAGCCTCAATTCTTTCTTTTAAAAGGGCTGGAGGACAGATGTAGATTATTCAGTTCCACTGCAGATCTGTGATATCCACTGTGGTAAGTATGAATGATAACAAAAGAAAAATTAGGTCTCAACTGTACAGAAGAGAGCACTCCACGTGAAGTGCATTTTCATTGGGAAATCAAAGTGTGATTCACCTGACTGAATGCAGAAGTCTGCATGTGAGCTGGATATGCTCAGCTTTCCTCATAGATAATGGACTCATACCTCAACTAGCATTTAATTAGCTAGGGCAAGGACAACTTGTGTGGCTGGCTGTTTTCTCTGCTTCCTGGGTGAATTTTCCATCACACGCCAAATTCTGCATGCCACATCTCTATTTACCTTGCTGTCGGTACATGAGGTAATTAGTTAAAAACAATCCTTGGCAAGCAGGCACACAATGCTGTCATTGTAGTGTTTCCAGCAGAGCCCTACTGTTCATTCTTCACCTCTGCAAATGGGACAGTAGTACTTCGCTCATTACAGAAGTACAGTGAGGATATTGTTATGATTTGAGCTCATGGAATCAAAATCTCCAAACCCTGGAAGTAAAGCCCTGGAAGTGTAGAAGTTAGTGAGTTCAGGGTGAACTATGGCTGTGGGGTTTATGGTGAGGAGGAGTGGATTGACTAGTTTAAAACCAAAAGGTCTAAAAGGACTTAAGCTGAGAGAAGACTCAATCTGAGCATTGCCAAATTGCCTCAAACCCCCCCACCCAAACTTCCCTTCCCAGTTCATTGTAAACATAGTGATTCCTATGACAGATGTTCTTTGTTGTCTAGAAATACCTGCCAGTTAACAATAGCTTCAGATTTGGAAGCCTGACACTAAAAAGGAGGGTGCTTGAATTTGCAGTCTTGAATTGGAAGTGTAGCTCTCTGTGCAAGCACTTGCATAATGCAAGTTCTGGTTTCTTCTCCACTTAAAAACTTGTAACAAGCCCGCTCAAGGTGAATCAATCAGTGTGTTGTGATTCATGTAATCTGGATGCATTTTCCTTGTTCATATTTTCCTTTTAACAAATTGAAGGGTATGACAAAGACATGTAAAATACAGAAAGGGTTCAGAGATGGAAGTCTGGGAATGCCCTTCTACCTTACGGTAGGAGAGAATGGGTCTGTGTATTAAATGAAAATGTCGGAATACTGAAAACTGACTAAAGAACTTTCGGGTCACAGTATTTTCTTTAATTGTGGAATTTTTTGTCACAAGTTTTGTTCTGATTCAGAATTTGTAGGGATACAGAAAAATGATGAGAAACTTTGTATCAAGAATATCAGAATATGTGATTAGTGTTTGTTGTATAGAAAATATTAGCCTCATGCTTCATGAATTATGCCATGCTTTATATTTTTGGGATAATGTAGTCCATCTCTGTTGGCTGAGCAGGAGAGGGTTCCCAAAACCTTCCTCTGAGGCAGATTGGTACAAACTAGCGTCAGAGATGGGACAAACCTAGGTGGGTCTAAATCACTGCTGTAATTGTGTAAGATTTTTAATGTAACAGTAATAGCATTGCTACTAAGGATTTTTGCATACTTAAATGTTTATTTCCTATGACAAAGATATTTTCTCAAGCTCTAGCTTTTTCAAATCAGAAGATGATAAAACTTTCTTGAAGATGATGTCCCCAAGGGCGATAATTCTTACCCTGGGATCCTGTTATGTTTGAACCTCAGATGTTAAGAAAAACAATCCACGTAAATTTGAAGGGAATATTAAACCCAAGATTAGTCCATAATTTGTGACAATTTGGATTATACAAAATGTCTAAATAAATGAGAGATAATCTTGTAATGGCATAGTGAAAATATGTCACTGTTAAAAATACCAAGCAGCATCATGGTGTTATTAACTTATATTTTGTTACTCAAACCCAAGATTCCAGTAACAACAGTATCTATTATAAAAAGATCAGCATACTTAACCATCATGAAGGCTGCTTTCTTTCCAGCTGCAAGAGTTTTCTGACACTTAGTATGCATTATACTGAATTCCATTGCATTTTTCTACCAGTAGTTGTGCTTTTGAATTAGAATGGCTTGGTGTTACTTGCTTTACAGAGGATGGAAATGGGAAAATACATATTTAATTTATTTATTTTGTTTTAAATAGCATTGGCTTAGAGGCACAACTTTGTATTCTTTTTAAGTTTTATTTTCCTTTGGCCATTTTTCTGGATTCCATTTAATGTAGCCAAACATTTTGAGACATGATTTCACGTATTAAAAAATAAACTTATCTATTCTGAATGGAACAATAATCCAAATCAGTTAATGTGAGAATAAATATGTGAATCTTAATGAAACCAAAATGCCAACTGACATTTGAACTTGTTTCTTCAGGTTTCCGTGGTCAGACATATAGCGATGGAAACCCAGCAAAGGCTATGGCACACAGGTATCCATCCAATGTATATTTTAAAACACCTTTGTGAGTTGTTTGAGTTGTTAATCCTGAAAACATACCACTGGCCTCTTTAAAGAACAGAAGCGATGTCTGAGAGAATTTTGTACTAGCAAACTTCATCTGAGTTAATTTTGTGCTATCATCTCTCCCCTTTCCTTGTCCTCACTGAAAACATCTCTTGCTCCTGTGGTCCTTCTCTTCTTGCTCTCTTTTCTATTGCACCACAGTGCAGTCTGGCATCAGAGGTAGCTGCCTTGCTGCCAAAGAGAGAGGGCAAAAGGACACAAACAGCCAGTAGAAGTAAGAAGTTTACAAATTAAGAAGACAACCTTCAAGAGCCCTGGAACAATCTCAGATTTGCTGAGCATGACATTGTCATGGTTTAACCCCAGCAGCAAGTACCATGCAGTTGCTCACTTGCTGCTCTCCTCTTCTCCCTGGTGGGATGGGGAGGAGGATCAGAAAAAGATAAAACCTGTGGGTTGAGATAAGAACAGTTTAATATTTGAAATACAGAAAAATATAATAATCATAATAATAATGAAGAAAAGGAGTCTGTATGAGAGAGGAATAAAATCCAAAGAAAATAGAAAAAATCCAAGTGATGCACAATACAACTGCTCACAACCCACTGACTGATGCCCAGCCTTTTCCTAAGCAGCAATTGGTCCATCCCAGCCAACTCTGCCCAGTTTCTATACTGGGCATGACGTGCTGTGGTATGGAACACCCCTTTGGCTAGTTTGGGTCACGTGTCCTGTCTCTGCTCTGTCCCGGCTTCTTGTGCCCCTCCTCACTGGCGGAGTGTGAGAGACTGAAAGTCCTAGATCAGGGTAAGTGCTACTGAGCAACAACTAAAACATCAGTGTGTTATCAGCGTTATTCTCAGAATAAAGTCAAAAATACAGCACCGCACCAGCCACTAGGAAGAAAATTAACTCTATCCCAGCTGAAACCAGGACAGAGATTCATATTACTAGCACCTGCCCCCGGCTTTCTCTTTGACATTTGCAGACAGATTAGTTCTCTCTGTGCTTTCACGCATTAGACATGTCTGCTCAGCTATTCCAGTGTTTCTTTTCACTCCCACAGCCCTTTGAAAAGCACCTATTCCCAGACTGTAAAAAAATCAATAATTAATGCAGTCCATGGGTGTATGATTTGATAGACCCTGAGCTCTTTAATATTTTTAGAATACCCTTTTGGAGACAACCTTGAATAGTGGGAGTAACCTAGAACTCCAAAGAGAGTAGAGATGCTCTGAAAATTCCTTGTTCAAAGGAGGGAAAAAGATGCAGCTTTGCAGAAGTTAATACAAGTCATGAGGTTGACAAAGTGCTACCATCTTTGCTTGGAGGCAGTCTTTGGCTTTTCCCTTGTCAGGAGATACCATTCAGAATAAAGTATCTTGGATTTGTTAATTTGTTCATACGAGTGCTGTTTGGACTGTGACAGGCAAGTCAACAAGCTGTAAACAAATGGTTACATGTATTATTTAAGTCCAGCAATGTATGAATGCAATGAACTCTCTCACACTTAAGAGAAAAAAAAGCCAATGTTCTTTCCTCCTCTGTTTTTCCCTAGAATGAAGAGTGTGCATTCCTTGCATTGAATTTAACAACACATTTTGAAGGTCCTTAGTATATTGTCGACATCAGGTTGTATTTTGGTGTAACTTGCAAATCTTGTCTAAATGGTCATCTCTCATGTTGGTAGTTTCTACTAATTACTGTGAGATTATTGTTGTGAGGGAAGCATATAGCAAGTTAGACTTATTCTAACATGTCCAAAAGAACATGAATTATGATTCCTTATTTCCTAATATTTAAAACCAAAAAATGTCTTAGATCACTTAGAGAATCAGGTTCACATTTTCTTCTAAATCGATATTATACATACAATATTCTATAAATGAGTATTGTCATAGTACCCTGTGTACCTATAGAACAAGTATTTCAGATTTTCTTATTTGTAACTTTTGTTTTTAAACCATAAGCAAAAGTGTCTGAGAAATTAAGAACGGAGGAAGTTTTCTCAGCTTCTTTACATTATCATTCTTTGCAGTTTCCTTTGTTTTCTGATGCCATTCTGATGAATTCACCATGACAGACCATATTCCTTAAATATATCTAACAACTGCTTTCTGTGTTTGCATTTGTATTTGACTTGGAGATAACTTTCTTATTTGTCTGAGGAGGTACATGTCTTTGGTTTGATAGCTATTTAAAACTGTCATGTGGAAATCCAGCCTAGAAGGAAACAGTTTAGTTGAAATAATTGAAGTATTTTTTTTCCATTATATCAGTATTTATACTCAATTATTCAAAATAATATTACATGCTGTACTGATTATCACGTTTGGCCTTTATTTCCCTAAATACTCCCTTCAAACATCCTTACTTCCTGTTGTGCAACAAAGAAAGGAAGAAAGTCAACTAAAAGATGATTATTAACAAATCCTGAAACCATGTGGAATTGCTCATATGGGATCAAGAATATGGGTGGGGAGTGAGGGTCTGGAACAAGAAGCTGATCAATAAAAAAATACTTTCCATCTGAGTGTGTTTTTTTGTTTCAAAATTTTCAAAGAGCAATTTATAGGAGACAAATAATCTGTAAGAGACATATGTGTTGTGTTGAAACACAAGGTTTTTGAGGTGACCTGAAGAGAACGAATCCTGCTTGACTCCTCTGATATCAAAGCTTCGTTGTGTAGACTACACATCTATTGGATACATTCTTATTCCAGCAGTGCTACAGCTCCAAAAGCAGAGGTGGCAAGGCACACTTCCTGAAGCATTTACTTACTTGCTTTGGCTGTCAGGTAGAAGCACTGATCTATTCAGACATCTGCTTTTCCTTCATTACCCTCCAGACTGCATCCAGAAACAAGATATTCAGCCATTCAACTGAGAGAGCATCATAACATTACTCTCTTCAGTTTCCTCAAGTGGAAAAGTCTTTTCTGCAGGAAAGGTTGATTTGTACAGTGTGCTTTTTTTTTTGAAGCGAAGTCTTAAGATCAACTTTTGAGTATGTCGTCAGATTAACAATGAAATAAAATGATAGCGGTGTGGCAGGATCTGAAAACCTAAGTATAGTTAAGAAAAAACACCACCTCCGATGACAAGCTTGTATGAGGTTCTGAAGCAGCAACAGCTGTACTGAAGCTGAATGCTTTCAATGATAAGATCCTGTTTCAGCTGCACTGATGCTGAATATCTTGCAGTCCATCTTCTCTTGCTGGCTGCAGTGCTAGAAATATCAAAGAGAATATGACCAGCCATAGTCCTCATGACTTTTGTGTTGTTTTAAATGAAAGCTTGAATAGTGATTATAGCAGACGTATCACTTAAACTAATTGTCTGAAAGTAAAGTGTTCATTCAAAGGCAGTACTTTAGGTTTCCATGATGGCCACTGGAGAGACACAGATACTTTCCAAGCATATTTCATTCTGCTTGGGTACTTGCTTTTGAAGGAGCATGGACAATGTAGTCTAAATGCTTCCCATTAAGATATTCCTGCTTATGGCAATGTTTGCAAATAATCCCTAATAGAATTTCCATACTTTGGCTCAGGTCTGTTCATTTTATTTAGGTAGTGAGAAAAATTGCTTCTAGCTTTTCTGATTGACTTTCAAGCTGATCTTTAAAAGTCCTGTTTCTAATACACTACTTCAGATACAAAATTCCTGCTCTACCTGAGACCAACTCTTCCCACTCTCTCAAATAGTGACTGGACCACGCTATACATCTAATGCACTAGAAGGAGTTCCACTCACATGGTGCCATAGTGCCTTTTCTAGAGAAGTTAGTTTGGCATTACTAAGCTACCCAACACTACTGTCCTTGTGACATTACAGCTGCAAAAATAAAGGGGTTGGTTTGTTTGTTTGTGTTTTCCACAGGGTGTTTTAAACATTGGTAGGTCAATCCTGAAAGAAGGTCTGAGAATCTTTCCCAACTATAAAAGTATTCATTTCAATCTGCTGACCACTGAAATGTTTTCTTTTCTCACCCAAACTACGCAGCAGTTTTCCAGTATTGACTGATGCACAAGTAAATGTTCTGTAATAACAGCCAAATGCAAAAATCCCCTATGTGATTGCCTATAGACCTGCCTATTTCTGTAGAGCCTTCATTCTTTTCTTGAAGAAAATTCCTCTCTTGCTTATTATGGGCAAAGTCCAATCACCCTCTTTTGAGATAACCCACAGTTATTTGGTTTTCATTTCATATGTACATTTGTAGTATTATCACAGAGCACCAGTTCTTCTGAGATACTAGCATATATCAGAATATCATTGAAATATAGCAAAAGCACTGATAGATGCTTTGTAGCAATCTCTTCAAAAGACTTTCAGTGCTGTCTCGTGCATTGCACAAACCTGAAAGTAACATTTAAAGTCACCACATAAAGCAGTTTTCCTCCTCTTATTTAGGGGCTTATTTTCACTTGCTACACCAGCAAGGGGTCTGGTGTGGGAAATCAGACTGATGCTGCTGCAGCATTTTGGATGTCTTTATTCAGGTTAGCTGTAAGGAAGAAGCTCTTTACTGTGAGGGTGGTGAGGCACTGGAACAAGTTGCCCAAAGAAGTCATAAATGCTCCATCCGTGTCAGGGTTCAAGGCTAGGCTGGACAGAGCCTTAGGTGACATGGTCTTGTGTGAGGTGTTGTCAGGGTCCGACTGGAGAAAACCCCAGTGTCAGACCCATTTCCTTCCTGATCCCAAGAGTGAAATTAAGACACAAATGAGATCAAGTACTGTAATCAATCAGTTGGTTTATTACAAAAAGTCAATTATTATAAAAAAGGAAATTATTGTAAAGGAAAGAGATATAGCAATGGGACAAATCAGAAAAAAGATAGAAATGAAGCAAGAATTGAGGGTGCAGAGACAGATAGATAGTCACCACTGTAGATCCAGCGGTGTCCCTGGGATCCGTAGGCATTGTCAGAGGTGATGGGAGTCCTTCAGGATCTGTAGTTGGTATCAGAGCAGAGTGTCCCCAAGAGTCCGTAATAGTCATCGGAGGTGGGTGTCCTCGTGGAGGGTGTCCTTGTGCAAGTGTCCTCCTGGAGTTGTACCTTTGAAGGTGAGCTCATGCTGATGTTTTTTTTCTCCCTTTTATACTGAGTCTGGGGTGGGAGAGTACCTCTGTTCTTAACATCACATATTCCTGGAGGGCCAGTTTCCCCGGTCTAGTGGACAGCTCTTCAACTGCACATGCCTGCAGCAATTCTTGGCAAAATGGACAGCAATTTTCCTCACACCAATCCTCAAGATAATGGATGGAAGAGTCTTAGCTCTTCCCACCCATCTCTCAGGCAATGATGGTGGAGTCCAGGTTCAGCTCCTCACACCCTTCTCCCAGGCAATAGACATTGGAGTCTTATCTCAACTCCTCCCACCTATCTCTGAGACAATGGTCAGTGGAATCCCATTTCATCTTCTCATGCCAATCTTTGAGACAATGGACAGTGGAGTCTGATTTCACATCAGTCTCTCACAGGTGCCCCTGCCCATGGCAGTGGGGTTGGAACTATTTGATCTTAAGGTCTTTTCCAACCCAAACCATTCTATGACTCTATGATTTGCAGTCATGGATACATTTCCTTGACAGCAAGTTATAGTTGAGTGGCATGCTTGAACCACCACACCCTAATGAGTAGTTAAGCTTGAATCACCACACTAAGCCATAGTAACAGCCACAGCAGGTCTAGTCCAGTGGTCTGCATGCTGTGTTCCTGACTCATTTCTCTTCTGGACTTACAATAAACTACTTCAGAGAAATAAATAGGAAGAGAAATAATGACTTCTTTGGAAGGGTTAGTTTACTGCTGATTTCATGCCTTGAACTACAAAGTCAGACATATGTGAGCCAGCACATTGGACTAAATGACTTCTTAATATATACCTGATACAACAAAACCAGGACAGTTTATCTACTGAAAAGCAGGTGATAATTTCTTTAGACTGCATCTTTCAACAGGTGGACTTTGTAAGATATATTTCCTGACTCACGAAACCCAAATCATTCTCCTTTAAAGCTGTGTAAATTCCTATCTAACTTCTAAGGGTCCAGTTTTCAAAATCAGCTTTGGATGGGATCATGTTCCACATTGCTGTCTCCACATGAGTGCTGGAAGGTTTTGGATGTTTTCATATTGTAGGCAATATAGTTAAAAAACTCTTGGTTTTGAACCAATAGCCACGTAAGTGTGCATATGGGCTTCTTCCCTATGGGCCTTCATGTTTTGTTCGGTCACCAGCAAGTCATCTTCTCAGCTTCTAAGTGCAGAGCATGAGTTAGAGAGGGTGTGGAAAAAGCCTGTAATATATTTTTTAAGTTCTTCAATAATATCAGTCCTAAAGTCCCAACACTGGGGAGGGACAGCAGAGGTGTGATTCAGTCAATGGAGAAACACTGAGTTACACAACAGCCATATACAACCTTTTTATGTTCATTTTCCCCTTTGAAAGTACTGGAACTTGACAGAGCTGATTCTCTCATTTTTTTGCATTCCTGTCAGTTCCCCTTTACTTTTAGAAGTAGAATTCCTACTTTAGTTACTTAAGATAATGAATCTCTTCCTCTCTTGCAGTGTTGGATTTCATGGCAGTCAGCTTCCTCTATGGTGGCTTTATCCTCTCCTGTTCTCTATTCAGATTCTTTGTGAAATCCAGAATATCTTCCTTCATCTGATTCTTTATCTGCAAGACCCTGGCCAGCTGAGTGCCTTCAGACTAGGCTGTTCCCAGTTTACCCTGGAAGACATGATTGTATGTCTGCAGATACCAACATCATAAAAACCCTTAAATGTTCTGCTTCTTACGTTGATGTACTCTTTATCTACCCAGTTTCTTTTCTGTGCCCTACTGAGGTTACACTGATGAACCTTACAACCATGAGTGGCTGAATATCTCAGAATACTTCTAGACCATGCAAGATTTTTCTGTCCATGCTCTACAATGGCTTTGTATCCGAGTCCTGAAAGTCACTTAACTGTATTTGTGTGGGAATATGCTTAATCTAGTAAGATTTACTGAAAGGCAAAATAGATAATTTTGATCACAGCACTAGTGAGGATAAGCAATCTGGAATCTGTCTTCACCTTGCTATATAAACAAAACTTCAGCTTTTTTTTCTGGATTTGTGTGTTCTTTGAGTTGCATTTACCAAATCTGCTCTGTCTTGGCTTATTTAAGGTATGAGACAAACGAGTTACCTCATTTGGGGTCCCTTCTTTCAGAAACTGTGGGCTGTTTTTTATGATTCAAGCTGAGGTTGCCTTCCTGTGTTTCTTTAGTTTCTGTGAGTTGATGATGAGCAGAAAATTGTCATAAATATCTAGCCTGACTCAAATCCTTTGGCCTGTTTTCAGGTAGCTGACTTCTATGGTGCTTTGTGACCCTCAAGTCTCATCCTAGAGAAACACTTCTAGCTGTTTAATGGTGTGCTACAGATCACCTTTATTTGTAAGCTCCAAGGTGCTCAGGCTTCATCTGCTTCTACTGCCAGGAGAATGTTCACCAAACAGCTAGCTATT